TGTGGTCTGATGCAATAGGCCACAATAGAACAGAAGGCATGGAATTATTTCAATTCTTTTGTATTTTTTGAGGTTTGTTTTGTGCCCCAGTATGTGGTCAGTTTTAGAGAAAGGTCCATGGGCTGCTGAAAAGAAAGTGTATTCTTTGTTGCTTGGGTGGAATATTTGGTAGATACCTGTTAGGTTCATTTAATGTATAATATCACTTAATTCAGATATCTCTCTGTTCATTCTTCATCTGGTTGACCTGTCTAATGGAGGCAGTGGGGTACTGAAATTCCCTATTACTGAGTTGGGGTTAATCTGTGTCTTAAATCCTGTAGTATTGTTTTAATGAAATTGTGTGCACCAGAGTTTGGTGCATATATGCTCATGATTGTTATATCTTCTTGGTCAATTGTTCCTTTGATTGGAATGAAGTGGCCCTCTTTATCTCTTCTGATTAGTTTTAGTTTGAAGTCTACTTTGTCAAATATTAGAATTGAAACCACCGTGTTTGTTAGTGCTGTTTGCTTGGAATATTCTTTTCCATCCTTTCACCTTAAAGTAGTGCCTGTCCTTGAAGGTGAAATGGGTCTCTTGCAGACAACAAAAGGATGGATTTTCTTAATCTATTAAACTAGCCTTGTCTTTTGATTAGGGCATGAAGTCCATTAATATGTAAAGTTATTATTGAAAGATGTATATTGGTTACCATAATTTTGATTTCTGTTTGCATTCTTGGTCTACATTTTGTGATTCCACAATTATACCTTCGTTTAGTGTCTTTCTGTTGCCCCTTGGGTATAGTTGTTCCTTTCTTCATTCTTTGTATTGCTTCAAATATTCTCTGATGGGTTGATTTTGTGGGCATGTATTCTTTCAGCATATTAATGTCATGGAAGATTTTTCTTTTGCCTTCACCTATAATAGACATTTTTGCTTGGTAAAGTATCCTAGGTTGGCATCTATATTCATTTAGAACTGGGAATACTTTGGTCCAGGCTTTTCTGGATTTCATAGTTTGTGTTGCTGAGTCAACTGTAATTCTGATGGGTTTTTGTTTATATGTGAGTTGTTTTTCTTTTGCAGTATTCTCTCTTTGTTCTGTACATTTTGTGTTTTTATTATGATATACCATGGATAGTTTCTTTTCTGGTCTTGTCTATTTGGTGTTCTATTTGCTTCTTGTATTTGTATGGGTATCTCTTTCCTTAATTTTGGGAAATTCTCTTCTAAAATCCTGTTGAAGATCTGTTCAATATCATTAACCTGAAATTCTTCTCCTTCGTCTATGCTGTGATGCATAAATTTGGTCTTTTCATGGTGTCCCTCATATTCCATTCTGTGTCCTTTAAATTTTTTCACAATTTTGCTTGAGCAGTCCAGTTTTTTAACTTTATCATTCAGTCTTGATATTCTATTTTCCACTTCATTCATTCTAACAGTGAGACTCTCCTGTTGCTTCAAATTGACTTATTGAGTATTGCATTTCCTTTTTCATTTCAGCATGAGTTTTCTTCAATATTTCTGTCTCTTTTGTGATTCAGTCAGAAGTTTATCCCTATCTTCTTTTAGTTCTTTGATTTGTTTGTGTGTTCTTTAAATTTGTTGAATTCTTTGATTATGTTTATGATTGTTCTTTTAAATTTTGTGTCCTGGGTTATCTCTAGGGGGTTTGCTTTGTAGAACTCTTCTATAGGACTGGTGGTCTTTAGTGGGAACATATTATTTTGGTTTTCCATATTATTATTTTTCCATTGTGATTTTGACATGTAGATATCTTTTGTTGTTTGTGATTCTGGTATGAAACTCAAGCCTTCATTTGTTAAGTTGAAGTCTGCTTCTGTTTGTATTATTTGTGTGCCTTGGTTGTTTTCTTATTGAGTATGTAAAGCTGGTTGGTCTAGGCTTGGGTTTTCTCAGATTTTATATTGGAGGGAACAGATGGCTTCACTTCAGCTACTCAGGAGCACCTGGCAAGGCTTAAGTTACATGCTAGTCAGGTACTCTCAGGCTTCTTCCTAAGGTCTGAACCCCTACTAGCTAGCAGTCACAGCACAATTTAGAAAGCTTGCTAAGGGAAGGCCCGATTTAGCCACTCTCAGGCAGTCTGGGAAGATCTGGACTCCTACTAAAGGACAGAGAAGCCCAGACCTGGGGTGATGGGATGGACTGCAGGTGGTTCCAATGTAGGGGGATGGGCACATCCTGCTTTGGGGAAGCTCACCATCCTGTGGAGCAGGCCAGATCCAGGTACTCTCAGGCAGTTTGCTAAGGTCTGGGCCCTTTCTGAAGGGCAGCGAATCCTATTCCTGGCACAGTGGGAGGGTCCGCACATGGTCCCAATGTAAGGGGTTTGGGCAGGGTGCTTCTCCATTTGGAGAAGCAAATGGCAGAGGCTGAATCTGGGCACACTCAGGCAATTTGCTAAGGTCTGGGCCCCTAGTGTAGGGCAGAGAGTCTAGCCCTGACACAGTGGGAGGGGCCACACATGGTCTCAGTTTAGGGGGATGGGCAAAGTGAGATTTGGGGAAGCTCACCACCACCCAGAGGTCAGATTCGGGCACTCTCAGGCAGTCTGTTAAGGTCTGGTGAAAATTAAATTCATGTAATTAACAAAATATTTAAGCATGAAGCTCAAGTGAATATATTTACAGAGATGATTTTGGATATGAATGAAATAATTCAGTATTATTTTAATGGCAAGAAATAGTGAAGATTGGGAGCAAAATTAATGAAATCAAGACTAAAAAATAATATGTAGAATCAATCAAACAAGACTGGTTCTTTGAAAAGATGAAGGCTGAACAACTCCTTGCCAAACAAAGCAAAAGAAATAGGAGACCTGAGTTAATAAAATTGGCAGCAAAAGAGGGGATGGCGTAACAGAATTCTGAGAACACTAGGATGTACTTTGAGAACTCATTTTCCAAGGCTGGAAAAAATCTAGAAGAAGCTGATAAATCTAGAAGAAGTTGATAAATGTAAACTTACCAAAATAAGCCATGGATACATTAAGAAACAAACCAAAAACTTTGAAGCAATATTAAAAAGTCTCCTGACAAAGAAATGTCCTGAACCAAACAAATTCACTACTGAATTCTACCAAAACTCCAATGCTCCTCAAACTTTTCCACAAAACAGAAAGGGAAGGAATGCTAAAAAGTTCATTCTATAATGTCATTTATTACCCTGATAACAAAACTGGCTAAGAACAGACACACACACACACACACACACACACACACACACACACACACAAACACAAACACAAAAGAAAATTATAAATTTCTCTTATGAATATAAATGCAAAAATTCTCAACAATATTGAAAATTATAGTCATGAACACATTAAAAAGACCATATGCCATAATTAATTACACATAGACACAGAGATCACATGACCATCTCAGTAACTATAGAAAAGGCCTTTGACAAAGTTCGACATCCCTTCTCCTAAAGGCCCCTAAAAAACTAGGAATAGAAGGAACATATCTTAGCATATTGAGGGTTTTGTGTGTGTGTGTGTGTGTGTGTGTGTGTGTGTGTGTACACACTAAAATAGAAAAAGGACTTTCTCTAAAATTAGAAATAATACAAGGATACTCACACTATTCAAGGTAGTGCTTGAAGTCTTAACTAGAGTAATAAAACAAGTGAAAGAATTAAAAGTGATACAGTTATACAAATAGGAAAGGAGGAAGTCAGGGTCTCCTTATTTATGTACATGATCTTATGTTTAAAATAGCTAAGGACTACACCAGAAATTCCTAAAACTGATGCTTTCAGCAAAGAAAGCAATCACCCGAGTGAAGAAACAGCTTACTTAGCAGGAAAATATCTTCATCAACTATACATTAAACATAGGGATAACATCTAACATATATAAAGAACTGAAAAATCAAACAAGTCTCCCAATCACCCAATCAATAAGTGGACTAATGAACTGAATAGACAGTTCTCAAAAGAAAAAACACAATAGCCAATAAATATTTGAAAAAGTGTTTTTAAAAGTATGTAAATTGAATATGTCAGTGTTATTGTAATGAAATGTTTCTATTAATCAAAAAGTATGTAAATTAAAACTATGTTGTGAGTCCTTACTATGAGGTAAGTCTGACAACTTACCTCAGTCAGACTGGCTATCATCAAGAAAAGAAACAAATGCTGGCAAAGATGTTGGGAAAGAGGAATCCTGATTCACTGCTGATGGGAGCATAGACTGATGTAGCCGTTATTGAAATTAGTATGGGTATTTTCCAAGAAAGTAAAAATAGAACTATATAGCTCCATCTACCACTACTTGATATGTATCTAAAGGATATATATATATATATATGATTATCACAGAGATATTGTACATCCATATTGGTTGCTGAACTACTGACAGTAGTTAAGATATGCAACTATCCTGGCTGTCCATTAACTGATGAATGGTTAAAGAAAATGTGGTACATATACACAATTGAATTTCATTTAGTCACAAAGAAACATAAAATCATGATCATTGTAGGAACATTGGTGAAACTAGGGATCATTATTTAAGTGAAATAAGCCAACCTCAGAAAGACAGCATGCTTTCTCTCATATGCAGAATCTGTTTGTGTGTGTGTGTAAATCACACAAAGGAAATAAGGGACCATGAGAGGGGAGCAAGATGTGTTAAGGAAGGAGGCTGGGAGTGGGGAGAGGTAATGGAATACCTATGAATTAGAAGCAGAAGTGAGAGTAGTTGGGTGATTGGGGCCTATCAAAAGGGGGGATACATAGGAAAGGGGAGAACAGTGAGGAATGGAGATTAATAAATTATAATGACACATATGTATGAAAATGCTACAATGAAACTATGTACTAACTTAAAAATGAATAAAAATATTATCTTGAATCTTTTAGGTTATATAGATCTGAGCAATGGGGCTTAACTTGCTATTTTTCCCATTTGGAGGTAGATAATGTGTGAATAAGTTAAATCTCCTATGTTTACAGTTGACATTGCTAAATCTCGGAAACAATGTTTTAGAAGATGTTCCAGAAGAGATGAGATGCCTTATCTCCCTGAAAAAGCTTCATTTATTTGGAAACAGGATTTGCAGATTCGCGTCTAGAGTCTGTGGTACGTTAACATTGTAATACTACATGTAATTCCTCATGTTTAATAATTTGAGACTGAAATAAAAAGGATTAAACTAATAAAATTAAAGACTGAAATCAAAGACTTTTAGAAGCTATATTTTTAAAAATGTATTATTTGAAAACCTCACACATGAATTTAATGTATCTTGATCAAATCTATCCTCTCCCTCCAATCTATTCCATACTCCCCCCCCCTCAACTTCTTGTACTTTTTTCTTTAACCCACGAAGTCTACTTAGTCTACCAGCATGAGCTTGAGTGTAGGGTCATCCCTTAGAGCACAGGCAGCCTATCAGGAGCTGCATCTGAAAAAAACTGACTTCCCCACCCCCAGCAGCCATGAATTACCAATAGCTCCTCAGCTAGGGGGTGGCATTTTGTGAGCCCCTCCTTCATGAATGCTGGAATTTTGTCTGGTTTGATCTTGTACAGCTCTTGTGCATGCTGTCATAGCCACTGTGAGTTCCCGTGTACAATGGCTCTTTTCTGATTTTTGCATCAAATATGTATTTGCATGTTGTGTTAGTTTCTTTACTCAATGTTGTTACCAAGTACCTAACAAGAAGCAACTTAAGGGTAGATTTATTTTTGCTTGTAGTTTAGGAAGGACTACAGTCCATCGCGTTAGGGTAGTCATGGCAACAGGATCTTGAAACGGCTGGTCCCATATGTCCGCAGTCAGGAAGCCCACAGGAATGTTTTGTGCTCAGCTCACATTCTCCTTTTTGTTTAGTTCAGAACCCAGATCGTGGAATGGTGTTGCCCAAGTTCAGAGTCTTCTATCTTCAGTTAAAGCTTTTTAGAAACACACTGATAGTCACACTTAGAGGTGTGGTTTCATGGTGATTCTAAATTCAGTCATGTTAGCAATGAAAATTAAACTTATAACTCCATCTCTTGTCAATATGAAACAAGCACATCACTTTAAATTATAACATTTCACTTCTATCTCTACATCTCATTTTCATTTCATAATGCAAATTGGATTTCTTTTTCTTCTTTTTTCTTTTTCTTAGAGATCTGAAGTGATTTTGCTTTCAGTTCCTTCACTTTGTCAATCATGAAATTTCACAGTGATTTCTGGGGTGGGAGCAGAAAGAATGCAGTGTTCAGGTTGATGGGGCTGTACAGGGCTGGTCTGAGAAGGTGCATGTCAGGCCTCCGTAGGGCAGCTGGAGGAGTATGGAATGCCCCGCAAGCAGGTAGGTGATATTCAGAGAGCTTCAGAGCTGATAGGCAGTGTGCGCGGCAGCTTCCAGCTTGCTCAGCTCAATTGGGACATTGCCTGTGGTGGCCAGGTAGTTGGTGATCAGTTCCACTGCTCTGGAGTCACCCTCAGCAGAGATGATAGCTGCTTTTTTTCTGCTGCTGCTCAGCCTTTTCCATCACCAACCTGGCCCTCTCTGCATCCTGCTAAGCCCCTTGTTTGGATTCCACCGCTTCTGTGAACTCCTTCCTAAAGACCTTCCTAAAGATCAGATGGTCAGGGTCATGTCAGGATGACCCCAAAAGGTCCTGCTGGCTCCATGAGGTCATCACTTACCTGTCTGGACACCAGTTCTCTTTGGGCTTTCAGTTCTCCAGCACCAAAGCAAGCTCCCACTGACTTGAGGGTCTCCATAGTGATAGACCGCAGCACCTGCTAGTCATCGTCCTCTTGGATGCTGGTGTGGATATGAGGCAGGGAACTGGCTGGCAACCAGCAGGGTGAGGATGATGTTCTGCAAATCTTTGCTACCAGATGCATTCAAAGATAAACCAAGGGATGAAAAAGTGAGTCCCTTTTCCCTGCCACGATGTCTTGTACTCCATGGAATCTGTCAAAGATAACAGCTCTGTGCCTAGCATCCACATTATACAAGGCAGAATTCACCACATCTCCTGAGATTGCTAAGGCCAGGCTAAACTTCCCAATGGACCCAAACACTTTGGCAGCCACGTTTCCTTCTGCTGGACACATACCTGCATTTACTCTGACCTCTACATGAATTCTCCCATACCCCCGTTTCTTTAACAATTCCAATGTTACTAGAATTGTTAGGCCAGGTGTTTTCAAGTTCTTGGCTTTTATCCAAAGAATTAGAAATAAAGACTTAGACAAATTTTCAAAAAAAGCAAGATAAAATTTGTAGGAATGACTTTTACAAAATGGATAGAATCTGTACTAATGACTTTTACTTAACCTTACAACCAAAAAGCTACTGTTTATAATGTAAACAAGTTCCACTGAGTCATGTGTTCTTGTGATTTGAGCACTTGGCTTTAATTCCTTGGAACCCCTCTTTGTCCTCCACCTTACACAGTGAATGAATGTGGTTGAATTAGCAAATCAAAACACTGAATGCAGTACATTCATATTTCTATCCTCATCGAAAACAGGGAAAATTGAGAAGAATGCTAGACATTGTAAGTATGGGATGCTTTAGAGCTAGGAATGCAAGGGCAAGATTGTTTGATAAAGTAAGGGTGGATTCAAGTTTGCAGTTCCCCAATTGATGCTGGAGAAAGGGTTTTGAATAAAAGTGTGCAGGCAGAGGTCAATGCAATTCTGGGGTTGATAGGTGCATTGTTGTAGAGGAGTGTGTGAACATAGTATGTGCATATGAAGGAACTAAGCTCCCAAGTGCATTATTACAATAGCATGCATAACCAAAACCAAATGCAGTTCTAGATTACCAAACTTCTCCCCATGTTTGTTTGCCTCACCAACACTGTTCTAAAGTCCAAATTATCTTCTGAAGCTCAGTGTAATCTCTTAAGTGTGGCCCTCATAAAACCCAAACACAAGTTACTTACTTCCAAGGATACTGAGCAAACACTTTCATTACCAAAGGAAGGAATGGGAGCATAGGAGGAAAATATTGAGACAAAGCATGACCAAAACCCAGTAGGGAAAACAACAAATCTTGAAGCTCCATGTCCATCATCTAGGACTCTTAGTGCAATCATCTAGGCTCCACAGGGCTTGGATGGTACCACCTCCTTAGTTCTCCCACTTGCAGTCTAGTATCTTTAGATGGCTCTCCTCTGAGCCTACACCTTTCCTTTGTGGATATTCAAGGTCATGGCATCTCCATCATCTTGTTGTCTCCATTGCAATTTAGCCATCACCCTCATAGCTTCAAGCAGTGGTCTGTCATTACCTCCTTTGCAGGGCCTCTGAAATGCCAAACATTGCCTGAATGAAGCAGCTTTGCAACTTTTGCACAAGCTTCCAAGACCCCCCTCACTCTTGGATTTTCTATTCCAGTACCATGAACACAATACTGTCAAGTTCTGTTTCTAGCTCAAGATGTAGTCTTGCCCCCTTGGAGAATAATTTCACTGTCAGGAACCCCCTTTACCATCATTCTCAGTTCAGGCTCTCTCTTTTATTTTTTAAAAAATAATTTATTTATTCATTTATTCATTTTTATGTGCGTGAGCGTTTTGCCTGCATGTATGTAAGTTCACCAATGTTGTGCAGTGACTGTAGAGGCCAGAAGAAGGCATCAGATCTCCTGGAACTGGGGTTATGAACAGTTGTTAGCCACCATATGAGTGCTCAGAACCAAACCCTGGTCCTCTGCAAGAGAAGCCAGTGCTCTTAACGTGGCTATTTCTACAGCCCCCTGATTCTCACCTTTCAAATGAACTTTTATTCTCAATGGGTGGGGTCTTGCCCTCAGGTCATCTTTAATATTGTACCTTTGGAGAGAAATTTCTCTTTAATGGTGCTAATCTCTTTAAAATTACAAATGCTTTGCTTGCATTCTACTTCTCTGAAACTTTGGGCTTGCTTGTGCCTTTTCTCAACAAATTTCACCTATGTGTACCTAAGAGAATACATAAAAATTAGTGTTAATGAGTACTCCCCTTTGAAAAATTAGTGTAAATTCAGACTCTTAGCTCTTGGGGTCTTTTCCTGAGGCAAAGAGAAATCTTTTTTAAAATATGTTTTTCTTATTAAACTTAAAAATTATTAATATTGTGTGTATGTGTATACATACTGTGGCACTATGTGAAGGCCAGATGAAAACTTTGTGGAACCAGTTCTCTTCTTCCATTGTTACTCAGTTTCCTGAGATTGAAATTAAATTATTAGGCTTCCTGGCAAGTAATTTTTACCTGCTGAGCCATCTTACTGGCCTTGAAAAAAATTTATTTTTTTTTTTAAAAAAAAGCTTTCCACAGCTCTCCTTTATACTTTTTACTTCATCTCAGATGTGTCCACACAAAATTACATCTTTGACCTCAAAGTGGATAAGTATTTATTCTGGATCCAAATATAAGTGACCGTGACCCAGGAAAACAGATTGCGTTTCCTCCAAATTCCATATTCAAACACAGTAACATTTTCATGAAGTTTTTATAGGAACAGAACAAAGAAAGCCATAGCTCAAGACACTTTTTTACATACCTTGGTGGAGACATCAGAGAGGTGGGTTATAGCAAAGCAAGAGATAATTCTTCTATAGGCCTTAGATGCTATCTGACAGGCTTCTTATCCTTTGCATTGGTGGAAGCTGGTTGATACATCTCAAAAGATTTTTATCTGTTAATCACAGGATGTTAGGTCACACACAGAAGTGGACAAAGAATGGCTATTTAAAGGGCTACTAATAGCCCGAGCTAAACTAAATAGACTCTGGACCTGCAACATTCCAAACTCTTCATAAACGTTGAAGGTCTAATCAGTTGATCAGCCTGTAGGAGGTTCAGTTGAAGATGTAGATACTTTCCTGGGGATTTTAGTTCAGAGGTATTAAAGTCAAATGCTTTGGTCATGGCATTCAATTTGAGTAAATTTGGGGAGAACTGTAAGATTTTTTTTTTTTACATGTTGCAGTGTTTGCCTGCATATTTGTATATGAACCACATTTATGCCTGGCTCCCACAGAGGCCAGAAGAGGGTATTAGATACCCTGGAGCTGGAGTTATGGATGATTGTGAGCCACCAGTGGTTGCTGGGAACCAAATCTGGGTCCTCTGCAAGAGTAGCGAGTGCTCTTAAGTGCTGAGCCATCTCTACAGCCCCTGGGGAGATATTTAAAGGCAAGATATGAGCTCTAGCATATGATATTAGTTTCCTTGTATTTGCCTTTCTCCATTCAGTATGCCACTCTTCTTATATAACATCTAATACTTGCCAAAGTTTTTAAAAAATGACTTTATTACCCATTTAAGGCACTTCCTTTTGCGTTAATTTGTGTACAAGCCTGCTTTCTGTCACTGGGATGAAATACTTGCAAATTAAAATGATGAAAGTTTTATTTTGGGTCACAATTTCAGAGGTTTCAGTCCATGGTATCCTGATGGTTGTTTCTGAGTCTGTGGAAGGCAGGACATCATGACAGGGGTCACATAGTAGAGCAAAGTTTCTTATTTCATTATTGCTAAGAAATAAGAGAGGGAGGGATCAAGCCCATGTCACCCCCTTCTGGGACATGCCTTCAGTTTTGTGGCCTTTTTCTGTTAGGGCCTGCTTACCTGGTAAAAGTTCTGCCACTTCTTAATAGTGTCATCATCCAGGGACCAAGTCTTCAACACAGCATTCAAAACATCACAGTCTCCAGTGATAGAACTATATATATGCTATAGAATTTATCAGTGTCTAAAAAATTTCAGGGTGTGGGTATCATTTATAATCATGTTGTCTTCAAGCAGTATTTAAGGGCATTATTGCATGTAGCATCAAATTAGGAGTTGTAAGGGCTGGAGAGATGGCTCAGCAGTTAAGAGCACTGACTGCTCTTGCAAAGAACTCAGCAGGTTCAGTTCTCAACACCTGAGACCAGCAACCATCCATAACTCCAGTTCCAGAGGATCCAGCACCACCTTCTGCAGTTCCAGCACCTCTGTGGGCATTGCACAACATGAGTGCACTTAAGATTATTCAGACAAGATACTCATACATATAAAATAAAAATAAATTAAAAGTTAAAATATTAGGAGTTGTATTTAGGAAAATACAATAATAGCCTCTCATGCTATCTTGGGCAAGATAGTTTGCTTATGGTTTTTTTTTTTTTTTAATCTTTTGTGGTGCTAAGGATTGAACCTAGGACTTTGAACATGCTAGGCAAGTTATATTCTCTTTCTCTTTGTCCCTCTTTTGCTAACTTTTCCTCTACCTCTTTGTTTCTATGATGACAGAGATATACAGGTATAAAATCTGTCATCTACGTGAAATCTGTTTTATAGTGCCTTTTATTGTCTTTAATTGTGTTATTTCTTGGTTTTTGGTTCTTGAACATGGAAACTTTGTTGAACTTTGCAGACCTCACGTGACCGAGATAGGTTATGTTCTAAGTCAGGTTTGATGATTTTTTTCCAGGGGTAGAAGTAGTTTGATATCTGGGCACTCAGTGCTGGCCAGCATGGCTCAGGAAAGCAGAGCAGATTCACTCAGGGCAGACACCCATTTCTAAGCCAAGTCAACCATTAGCTCTTTTCCTTTAGGATTGTGATAGTCTAAAACAGTATAATTGTCCTGAAAAAAAAAAAATCACACGTGTCAAAATGGTATCCCATGGACTGTCTACCTCGTGTATAAACTGGTTCTGTTTTGTTGGTCTCTTAGATATTTTGAATTAGATGTCAAAAATTTTAAATTGGAGATTTGGAAAAAGAAGTCTAAGTCTCTGACCCTTTATTTGTCTATTTTATTTTTTATTTTATTTATTTTATGTGTATGACTGTATTGCCTGCATGTATGTGAGTGCACCCGTGTTGTGCAATGCTGCAAAGGTCAGAAGAGGGCTTTGGACCCTCGGAACTGGAGTTAAGGATGGTTTGTAGCTGCCATGTGGGTGCTGGGAATTGAACCCAGGTCCTCTGCAAAAGCAATCAGTGCTCTTAACCTCTGAGCCATCTCTCCAGCCCCTATTTGTCTATTTTAAATAAAGATTAAGTCAAAATGAAGTCGCATTCCCATATGACAACAATTGCCAGGAGCTGGTTGCATGGTGGCAGCCTTGGATGATAAGGTGTGAGGTGGTACGATTCCTGAAGAAATCTTCAATTATGAACTCTGCTGCGTCTGTGACAGGAGTTGTGGGATAGCTATAGATATATGGAATAACAGAGCCAGTCTGTTCAAAAGAAAGAAGGATGTGACAAGACGGAGGGAGGATACAAATGTGAAACTGAGAGTGGTTTTAATGAGAAAGTAAACTACATTCCTGGTTCTCAGTGTCTTTTAGTTCTTGGGTTCAGTTTGTGGTAAGCCTGGTTCTACCCTTTGTCCTCAGTTGCCACGACTTAGCTTTGCAACTATGTGACAATTTTCTTTTTGCTTTAGCTAGTTTATGAGAGTATCTGTTCAGCAACCAACAGAACCTTAGCCAAGACAAAAATCCAGAAGGAAATCAAAGGTGTAAAGAAAAGTGACTAAAAATTATTTCCTACCAGATGGCTAAAGTGACTAAAAATTATTTCCTAACAGATGGCTTACAAAATTTGATTCTGCTTAATCTGAATGACAATCAACTTACAAGCCTTCCTCAAGAAATTGGCAGGTAATTTTATTTGTAGCAAGACTTGGTTAAACATTACATTCCTCCCCTTCTCCACACTCAGTCCCATTTATCTGAAAGCATTAGGTAGTCAGGGGATTTACAAATAACACTGAGGGATGGAGAGACATGAATCACTGAGCTTTAAAATTTTTGATCATTATTTATTAATTATGCATGTGTATATGACACATACATGTGTGTACATATGTATCCAAGTGCACTGGCCCAAGTATGCATACTTGGAGACTGGGATGTCTTCCTTCATCACTCTCCCCACCTTATTTGTTAAGACAGGATCTCTCACTGGGCCTGGATCTCACCCTTTAGGCTCAACTGTCTGACCAGGAAGTCCTATGGATCTGCTGGTCTCTGCTTCCCAGTGCGCTGTTCCACAGACATGCCATCATGATGAGCTTTGACATGGGTGCTGAGGTTCCAATTTCAGATCCTCATGTTTGTATTCCAAGCACTCTACCCACTGAGCCATCCCTCCCAGCCACTAAGTTCAAGGAAATGATTTCTCAAACACTTCAGAGAAATTAGAAACAGAAGGTGGTCTAAATGTAAAAGTCAAGTTTGAAACAAAAGGCTCTAAAGCTGGTGTTATTGATATGCCAACTCAGGGGTTACTGGAGCTTGCTCAGACACAGATTGGGAACATTAAATTTTATTTCATGCGTGTCATAAACCATTTTGAGCTCTGTGGGAAAAGGTCATATAAAAGCAAAGGATTTATAACTACGATGTCATTTTCATTAAATAAAAAATTGCACATTTTATTGTCATTAGCAACAACCAAAAAGATGCTCTTTCCCCTTCTTCTGCACATCTGTGCAGACAGGCTATCATTACAGCGATGCTCTGGAGCCAGCTGAAGGCCTTGCCTTTCTGAGGCAACATACTCTCTTGAGGTTTTTCTCTGACAGATGTAGTGAACGCTGCTCAAGTTTACTTTGGAGACTCTCTTTATTGCCTGTTGAACAGAAACAGATGTATTGCAAAGTAAGAGCATCCAGAGGTTTGAAGGATACAAAGTATAAGCAGGCCTCAACACAGGACTCTTCATAGCACCTGGTCTATTCTAATTCACTGTCTATATCTTTGGCCAGAGGACTACTTTTCCAAAATGATTTTTATAGGGAAAGTACTATTTTAAGTTAGGACAACTACCAAAAATATTGAATCAAAGTTCTATAGAAGAAAAATACTTATAATAATTATAATGCCAGTAGCTGTCTCCTTTTTCATTTCTCTGACTAACCAATCAATTGGTTTGTGTACTGATACAATGAACAGAAAAAGATGCCATAGAAAAGATCTGATGAGTTAAGTTCAGGTTATATTTTTGTGCAGCTAGCCTTCTGACCTTGGGGAAGCAAATTAACTGCACTGGACCTGTTTTCTTCTTCTTAATGGAAGAATTCTGAATAGATGAACTTCAAAGTCCTTTAGCTATAATATGACTTCACAGTTTGGGAAGCTGTCCGTGTTTGGATTAAGGATGTACAGTAGTTGAAGAAGCATGTGAATCTAAGGTGATGTATTAGAAAATGAAAGGAAAGCTTTCACTTCGAAAAGTAGGACTGCAAAGTATATGGGACCTTGTTTTTATAGTTAATCCTGGGTTGTCTGTACTCTGGCCAGGCTGTAGATATAAGCTGATTGGCTGTCTCTACAAGCAGAATCTCACTTCCTCACCCTGAGGAAATTTCTTAAAAAAAAAAAAAAAAAATTTTAATTTAGTTCTTAAATTGTATGTGTGTGTGTGTGTGTGTGTGTGTGTGTGTGTGTGTGTGTGCGTGTGATTAAGTACAGGTACCTCAGAGGCAAGAAAAGAGCATGGGTCCCCTGAAGGTGGAGTTACAGGGTTTAGTGAGGTACCTGATGTGGGTATGAGGAACCGAATTTGGGTGTTCTGAATGAGCAGTGTCTGCTTTTAACCATAGTCATCTCTCCAGCCACAGTGGGGAAGTTTTCTACCTTTTATAACTTAACGTTTTTATCTGTTCTATGAGAGTGATAACTATCTATTTCATACTATGGTTTTGTGGTTTAAATATTTTAATCTTTAAGCTCTTTAAATATGTGGTTCCTGGAGAGATGGATCAGTAGTTCAGACCACATATTCTTCTTTTTTTTTTCAACTATATCAGCAGAAATACCAGGTTTAAATAGGCACTAAAGCCAAGAAAACCAATGATGCCAGATAGTGAATTTCTATCACATTGTTCTTTGAACACACCAGCAGGAGGGAGCTGCTGAGTGCAGATACCATGCAGTACATGGAGCACATATTATTCTTGTAGAGGATGTGCATCCAGGTCTGAGCATCCATATCAGGTAGCTCACAACTGCTCAAAACTCCAGTTCCAGAGAATCATACTACTTCTGGCCCCTTCAGGTATCTGTATGCATGTGGTACACATATATGCACTCAGGCACACTGTTGCTTGAGTTCCCTCTGGGTCTCCTGTGCTATCAAGCAAATCATACAACATATCTTTATGTGCATTTATTAACTTACAAAGGAATGAGTACCCAGTGCCTAGCCCCTGTGCCACAGCTCAGAGCCCACCATATCATCCCACGCCATGCCCATAGTCACTGCTGGCATTCCCTCATGCCTTGGGGCCAGCAATCTCGCCCCAGGTCCATAAGAATCAGGCCACTCTGTCTTTGAGCGGCTACATGGCTGCGCATTCCCCATGCCACACATGATACCTACAGCTCCCAGTTTCCATCCCAAGATGGCCCAGCAGCCCCTTAGCCATCCATGCTCTGCGTCAGGCCCCGCCCCTTGGAGGAACTAGCCAATTGGGAGACACATGTACAATGAAAAATAAATCTTAGAAAAATCAGAAAATTTAAAAGATTAAATTCTCAATGAATTTCAGCTTTTATTATTACATGATGCTATTTTCATACTTGCTTCTTCTGGTTCCTCTCATTCACTCTTTTCCAGAGGTAAAAGACTGATTTTTATGTGTGTGAATTTCAGAAAAATATTGAGCCTGCATAGGGTGGCATCATTTCTTTGTCCTATCCTAAAGCAATCAGCCAGTTCAGCAGGAAAGCCTGTGAATTAATGTGCTTAATCCAGAGGAAGGCTGAGAAGGGACCTAGGGTGGTCATGTCTGCTCTATGCTGATGCCTGCTTTCCTTTCTAAGTCCAATGTCTTATCAGTTTATTCAGAGCCCAGAAAAGTAAGAGAAGAATTCGCTGTTTTAGATTTATTAAGCTTCTGAGCTTCAGTTCATGGGCTTGGAGTCAAAGTAGGGCAAGCGAGTGTTACCACTATACAGCTCTGCCATGAGTGGAAGTACATAGCTACATAGACATGCAGATGCCTAGCAGAAGCCTGAGCAAAAAGGGAGAGGGGAGGGGACCAAACCAGTAAGGCTCAGTTCTTTCTTCCAATTTGCCAGCCAGTGAAGTTGTTTTGTGAAGTTATTAGTCAGCCTACTAGGGAGGAAGGAGGACAAGAAAAGCTGCAAGTGTACCTCCTCTGGAAGTTTCTTTTGAAAGGTAGCTCTCCCTACCTTTCAAAAGGGATTATATTGGTTTCACCCTCTTCTCCTTACCCATCCAAAAGAATGATGGACACATTTTCACTAGGGTCTGAGCTCACTGTAGTGTTTGGAGAAATAAAAATAGAAGAGGAAAGCCAACCCTCCATGCCAACTCAGAGCACTTAAAATTCTTCATGTCTTTCTCCATAGGATGTACCCACACGTTTTCATTTCTTTCAATGTTGAGTTTTCCTTCTTTGGCCTTTTATCCTCATGCATGTTAATTTGCTTCTTATTTTGCTGAAATTTGGGCTCAGGTTTTGACTTTGAGCCTGTCACCACTGGCCCACGTCGTTCCTTTCTCTCTAGCTTCCTCATTGTCTCTAGTCTGCCTGCAGCTTTTGTTTTCTGTTTAACTCCTTGTAAGTCCTTGTCTGTGCTCTACATTCTACTGTACCTGGTTTTCAAAGGTCAGCAATAAGCCCTTTAGGTGGCCTAATCTTTGATGTTTGCTGAATGAAAATTACACAGGATTCACAAATCTTCAATAATATTCAGAGTATTTTACACAGCTCAGAATGTTCTTCATGCCCCCTTCCAGGACATTCTTACCTCTCATAGGCAACTGATTCTGCTTTCTACAAATTAGTTTGACCTATTTTAGGACTAATTTAATGGAATCACATGCACATTCTTTTATGTCTTCTTTTGCCATATGTATGCCTTATTATTGTATTTATTCACTATTTTATTTCTCCTGTTGCATTACCTTGCATGCATATTCCATAAAGCATTTGTCTTTTTTCTTGTTTATGGACATTTGAGTTAGGGTTTCTAGTTTGGCCAATGAATTAAGCTACGATAAATATTCTTGTATGGGGCTGGAGAGATAGCTCAGCAGTTAAGAGCACTGGGCACTCTTGCAGAGGACCCAGGTTTGATTCCCAGCACCTACATGGTGGCTAACAACCCCATAACTCCAGTTCCAGGGCATCCAACACCCTTTTCTGATCTCTGTGGGCATTTCACGACATGAGTGCACTGACATACATGTGTGTCACTCATACACATAAAATAAATAAAAATAATTAAAAATTAAAGCAAAGAGCTCCTTTAAATAAAAAAATTAATTCTCATTCCAATTCCCAAAAGGGTCTTAATGTATAAGGGTTGGTATATATGTTACTTTTAAAGGCAATGTATTACCAAAGTGGTTATACCATTTTACATTCTAATCAGCAATAAAAATTCTTAAATTTATTGAAGTGGGTATAAAATCTCATGGTAGTTTTACTTTGCATTTTACTGATGTTAATGATACTAAGTACTTTTTCATGCTCTTATTCGCCATTTATATATACTTTTGTTTTCAAATAAGTGTTTGTTTCCAGTATTTTGTTCATTAACAATTGCGTTGTTTCTTAGAATGTTTTAAAGAGTTCGTATGCATTCTGGATACAAGTACTTTGAAAAGTGCATGCATTTGTAGATATTTTCTTTCTATCTGTGGCTTGTCTTAATTTTTAATGGTACTTTTTGATTTAGCTTTATTTTCAATATATAAATACTTTTCTTTTATGATTAGTCTTCTTTATGTCTATTTTAAAGAAGCCTTTGCCTACCCCCAAGCTATCAAGATAGTATCCAATATTTTCTTTTTTAAAAAATATTTTATTATTTTTGTTTTATGTGTATCAGTGTATTACCTGCATATGTGTAAGTGCACCCATGTTGTGCAGTGCTGGTGGAGATAAGAGAAGGGCATTGGATTCTCCTGGAACTGGAGTTAGGGCAGTTGTTAGCCTCCATGTGGGTGCTTGGAATTGAACCCGAGTCTTCTGCAAGAGCAGCCAGTGCTCTTAACATCTGAGCCATCTCTCTGGTCCCAATATCTGATACTTTCTTTAACAAAAATGTAGTGTTAGTTTTTGTTTGGGTCTATGATCTAACTTGAGCTATGTTTGTACATGGGAGGCAATGGTCAAGGTCATTTTCCCTTTACACATTTATCCTGTTGTCCAGCAGCATCTGTTGAAAGACTACTTTTGAGGTTGAACTGCTTTGACACATTCGTCTAAAAATCAATTTTATAGGTCATTTAGACTTGGTTCTTTTCTACTCATCTATTTTTCTCTTTTAGTCCATTTGAATTGCTATAAGAACACATTATGAACCAGGTAGCTTATTAGCAATAGAATTTATTTTTCAGTTCTGAAAGCTGGGGATTCAATTTGAAGGTTTTGACACATTCCTGGGTCACAGAATGGCTTTTTTTCCCCTTGTCCTCTTGTAGTAGAAGAATGAGACAACTTTTGGGAGCTTCTTTTTATCAAAGCGCTAAACCGCATTTACAGAGATACCCTCCCCATCCCCGTGGCCTAATCATTACCTAATATTTTCACACTGGTAAGAAGACTCTACTGTATGAATTTGCTGACAGGAAGACACAGATATTCAAGCCATAGCTTTGTTCTTTCTCCAGTACTAAACCATCTTTACTACTGTTGCTGTGTTGTCATATTTGAAATCAGGTAATGTGAGGGTTTTTTTGATACTTCATTCCTTTTAATAATAGTTTTGGCTATTTGAGTGTGGATTTTCATATGTACTATATAATTGACTTATTAGTTTTTACACAACAATGTTGATATTTTTACTTGAATCTGTTATTGAATATGTAGGTCTATATTGGGAAAATGACAGAAGTATTTTTCCTTATATAAGCATAATACAATACTATTAATTAGAGCCCCTTTAAATGTTCTTGGTAATAATTTATATCTTTCATCATAGAAATCTCTCATGCCTTTTGCTAAATGTTTTCTTTTTAAAAATATTTTGTTTATTATTTTTATGTGTATGAGTGTATTACCTGCTTGTAAGTGCACCCCTGTCATGCAATGCCCAAGAAGGTCAGAAGATTGCCTGGGTGCTGGGAATTGAACCTGGGTGCTCTTAACTGCTGAGCCATCTCTCCAGCCCTAAATATTTTCTTTTTTAAAAGTATTTTTTTATTATCTCGTTATGTCCTAGTTAATTTTCTATTGCTGCGATAAAACATTCTGGCCCAAACCAACTTGGGTAGGAAAGAGTTTATTTGATTGACATGTCCAGATCACAGTTCATCCCTTCAAGAAGCCAAGGCAGGAATGTAGAGGCAGCAGATAAAGGACAGCCCATGGAAGAACGCTGCTCACTGGCTTGCTTGTCTGGCCTGTGCTCAGCCTGCATTCTTAAACCCAGGGCCACCTGCCCAGGAGTGGCACCACCCACAGTGGGCAGAGCCTAACTGTATCACTCAGTAATCAAGAAAATGCCTCACAGACATGCCCACAAGCCAGTCTGTTAGAGGAACTTCTCCAGTTGAGATTCCCTCTTCCCAGCCATGTCAAGTTGTCAACCGAAGCTGTCTGGCACATATTACTATACATGGAATTTCTAGCTCCCCCCTACCAATTATTTATGACTACAATGAAGACATACAATTGATTTTAAAAATACAGATTTTGTATGTTGTCTCTGTGCTTTTAATTTCAGTGCTTTAAAAGTTATTTTAGAAACTTACGATGAATTGTTTCATTATGGCAGGTTTCTAACAAAATTTGCTTTTATTTTCTCTCCATGCCCGATGTCCTCATACCCCCCCAAGACATTTCTGTGTTCACTGCCCCCCCCACATTGCTATTTTCACTTTATGATCTACCTAACATCTTTCCTAAACCATGGTATCCAAAAGAACAAACTTGTTCCTAATCCATTTTTGTATCATCTGTAACAACTGAGCAACATACCTCTTTGGTACTGTAAATATCTTTTTCTACTTCTATACCCCATATCTGCATCTGTTTATAGCATATCTATTTACACACATTTATTTATATACCTTTGCCCCCTAGCTTCCTCTTTGATTTGGTCACTGTATATTTATAAGGAATGAAAATAGAACTCTTTTTCTTTTTAAAAAATATTTTATTTGGCCAGGCGTGGTGGCGCATGCCTTTAGTCCCAGTACTTGGGAGCAGAGACAGGCAGATCTTTGTGAGTTCAAGGCCAGCCTGTTCTACATAGTGAGTTCAGGTCAGCTGAGACTACAGGGAGACCCTGTCTCAAAAAGACAAAAAAAATTATTAATTTTTTATGTGTATGAGTATATTGTTTGATGTATGTAAATGCACCCATATCGTGTACAGCCTGAGGTGGTCAGAAGAGGGCGTTGGAGCCCCTGGAACTGGAATTATAAATGAGATGGTTTTTAGCTGCCATGTGGTTGGTGGGATTCTAACCCTAGTCTTCTGCAAGAACAGACAGTGCTTTTAACCACTGAACCATCTCCTCAACCCCAAATCTAGATATGACATAGCTACCTGATTACAAAAGATCTTTATTAAGTTTCAGCAAAGACCTTTATGCTCAAGAGACTCACAGTAGTTGTAAACATTTGACTAAGTAAGATTCAGAGAAGTGACAAAAAGTAAATTACACATAAGTGGCATCTACCAATGAATTTTCTCGTTCTGATAAGTTTGATTCATATGCTTTGTTTATTTTTTTAGGTTGAAAAGTCTTACCTGTCTAAGTATCAATCATAACCAGCTAACCATCATTCCTAGAGAACTTTGCTCTCTTGAGAATCTTTCTGAACTGCATCTTAACTACAATCAGCTCATGTACATACCTGAAGAGATTAAGTTCTTACAGAAGCTCAAGCAGCTTTTTCTGGTCAGGAACAACCTTGAAGCTTTGCCAGAGGTAAAGAAAACATGCTGGCTCTTTTCTTTCTTTCTTTCTTTCTTTCTTTCTTTCTTTCTTTCTTTCTTTCTTTCTTTCTTTCTTTCTTTCTTTCTTTCTATTTTCTTATTTTGTGACAGGGTTTCATATAGCCCAGGCTGCTCTCAAAATTATAGTTGTTGAAGAAGAAACCATTCAATATGATGTTAGCTGGTTACCGTTTAGGCTTTATCATTGTTCTTTTCAGTTCATATTATAAATGTTAAATCCCTGCAGGCAAAACTTAGTTGTTTTGATAAAGATAAGGTTATGAGTCATTTTCTAATGCACTGTGAATTATGTGTATGTCTGCACATGTGTATGAATGTATTTTCTCTATAGTTTGTTCCACACTCCTAGTGAACTCTAGTTTTAGTTCTCTTAAGATTTCTGAAGGATAGAAAAAAGCTCTTTGAATAAAAAATGGACCTAGGAGTTATAGCATATATTATTTAAAAAGAATATTTTAGAGATCCCTGGACTAGCTTCCTATCCTAGATTAGCTAAACCCCATACCACAGATCCCTAAGTCCTTCCCCTGGCACTCCCTCCACTGCCAACTTCCCAGCCTCTGGATCAGTGAGACAGACTTTCTCGGCCAGGACTCTGGTAAGTGAAATCCCACCCACTGTCTCTTTACTCCATTCCTCTCACCCACCCCTACCCCATCCCTGCCAGCCTCCTTCACAAAGGGATTTCAATTCCTTCACCTCATTGGTAGGTGTAATAAAGCTTATTTATAATCAAGAGCAAAAGGAGCTCTAGTAACTACACAAACTCATGGAGATTAAACAACACACTCCTGAATGATGAATGAGTCAAATAAGAAATTAAGAAAGAATTAAAGTTATTCCTGGAACAAAATGAAAATGAGAACACAGCACAACAAAACCTCTGGGACACCTTAAAAACAGTCCTAAGAGGAAAGTTTTTAGCTCTTAGTGCCTAAATTAAAAAATCAGAAAGAGCACATGTAAATGAATTGCAGATGATAAGATATGATACAAAAGAGATACCCAAAATTCCCCTAGAAAACTGTTAGAAATGATTAATATTTTTGTTAAAGTGGCAGGTTACAAAATCAACTTACAAAACCAGTAGCCTTTCTATATATCAATAACAAGCAATCAGAAAAAGCACTCGAGGAAACCTTCTCATTCTCAATAGCTTCAAAAAAAATCTAGGAATAAACCTAGCCAAGGACATTAAAGATCTCTGCAATGAAAACTTCAAACCTCTAAAGAAAGAGATAGAGGAAGACACTCAGAGATGGAAAGACCTACCATGCTCATGGATTGGCAAAAGTCAGTATTGTGAAAATGACCATCTTACCAAAAGCAATTTAGAGGTTTAATGCAATCTCAATCAAAATACCCATGACATTCTTCACAAAGCTTGAAAATATCATCCTAAATTTCGTACAGAATCACAGAAGACTCCAGATAGCCAAAGAAATCTTGGACAAAAAAGACAAGGCTAGGGGGGAATCATCATACTAGATTTCAGATTATATTACAGTGCTATAGTCATAAAAACAACATGGTACTGGCACAAAAATAGATGCATAGATCAATAGAATGAAATAGAAGACTCAAACATGAGTACATGTAATTTCAACCAACTGATATTTGACAAAGGTGCTAAGAACACACAATGGAGGAAAGATAGCATCCTCAACAAATAGTACTGGCAAAACTGGATTTCCACCTGCAGAAGAATGAAACTGGACCCTTATCTTTCATCCTGCACAAAAGTCAACTCCAAATGGATTAAAAATCTTAATATAAAACCTGAAACTCAGAAACTGCTAGAAAAAAACAGAGGCAGCACCCTTCTAGATATAGGCATAGGAAATGACTTTCTAAATTGGACACCAGCTGCTCAGGCACTAAGGTCAACAATCATTAAGTGGGAACTCATTAAATTACAAAGGTTCTGTATGGCAAAAAATAAATAAATAAATAAGACAAAACAAAAACAGCAACCAAGGAAGGGAAGAGAAGGAAGAGAAGAGGAAACCCACTGAGTGGGAGAAAATCTTTACCAGCTACATATCCAACAGAAGATTAACATCCAGAATATACAAAGAATTCAAAAGACAAAGAAATAAGAAAATACAAAACCTAATAAAAAGATGGGTGATAAACCTGAACAGAGAGTTCTCAAAGAAATAAAAATGTCTAAGAAGAACCTTTAAAATGTGCTTAACATCCTTAGTAATTAGAGAAATTCACATAAAAACCACTTTAAGATTCCGTCTTACCCCAGTCAAACTGGCTAAGATCAAGAGAAGGAAAGATTTCAAATACTGGAAAGGATGTGGAGAAAGAGGAATGCTCATTCACTGCTGGTGGGAATGCAAACTCAGGCAACCTCTATGGAAAGCAGTGTGGAGAACCCTGAAAAAAACTAAAAGTGAACCTACTATATGATCCAGTTTTACCTCTCCTTAGCATATACCCAAAGGACTCATCATACTGTAGAGATACCTATACACCCATGTTTGTTGCTGCTCTCTTCACAATAGCTAAGAAATGGAAACAGCCTAAATGTCCCTCAGCTGACGAGTGGATAGCAAAAATGTGGTACATTTACACAATGGAGTTCTACTCAGTAGTAAAGAAAGGTGAAATAATGAAATTTGCAGGTAAATGGATGGATCTAGAAACTATTAGACTAAGTGAAGTAACACAGTCTCAGAAAAACAAAAGACATATATTGTACTTCATTTGTGGATCCCAGCACCAAATTCTTTTAAGTGAGTGCATATCCTGATGTAACTGCAGGAACCAGGAAAGTGGAAGTGATGTAAAGGGAAAGAAGGAACCTGAGAGAGAGAACAGTAGGAGATGTGTGTTACTAAGGGAGAAATGTGTAAAAGAGGGGTAGTTAAAATGGAAGGAGGAGAGGGAAAGCTATACAAGGAACTATTGGGATAAAAAGGATGAAGGAGCTCAAGAGAGGTGGGACCCTAGAAGACAGGAATTTTCAAGGAGAGAAATGGGGAAAATGGGGACACTTTAAATGGAGAGAGTGGGGAGAGACAATGAAAATGTGGTCCACCTACACAATGTTCTACTCAGCAGTAAAAATCGATGAAATTATGAAATTTGTAGGTAAATGGATGGAACTAGAGGGTGCTATGCTAATTAAATAACACAATCACAGAAAAGCAGGTGACTATGTTCTCTCTCATTTGTGAATTGTGGTAACAATCCCTTGCATGTTAGTATATTAATTCTGATGTAACACCAACAGCCAGGAAGAGGGAAAGGATACATTGAGACAAGCATACAGTACAGCATTCATCAAAGAAGCTTCTTTCTGCAATGGATGGAGGCTACTACAGAATTGCACATCTGGTCTGACACAGAGAACATACATCTGAGAGATGCCCAGTACTAGGTGACACATCTACAGTTGAACCTCCACAACTAAGGCTCATGGAACATATTGGAACAAGGAGTAGAAAGGAAACAAATGCATCCCTCCCCTCAACTCTCACCAGTAAAGCTTCCTTATACAACAGAGCAAGATGCACACAGAAATTCACAAGTGGCCAAGTTTTAAAGAATAAGACTATAGAGTATAGGGTAGAATATTATATGGAACCTCATCCATCCATGACATAGGGATCATTGTGGAAGAGGTGACAGAAAGATTGTAAGAGCCAGGGCTGGTTCATGAATATAGCTTGCACATGTGAACTTTTGGCAATGGTGGCATTGAGCACAGGACCTATGTCAACTCAATTAAACAAGGTCCCAAATGGGAGGAGAGAAATAGGTGGGAGGCCAGCACTAGACTGAGAATGATTGAAGACTGATCGTTGCCGGGTGAGGGAGAGTATGCCTTATATACAATCACTAGATGAGCTGACTAGACTCCAGTGGATGAATTTAAACTGAAGAACATTTGGGCCCAAATGCCTGAATGAATAGGACTTAACGTGTATGGTAGAATACATAAGGCCTGGTGAGGGAATGGGGGAGGCATGGAAGGGAGAGGGACTCTAAATTTGATTAATAACTGTTGTATGAAATTATAAAAGCTCAATAAAAATATAAAAATATATTTATTATTTTTATTTTATGTGTATGAGTGTATTGCCTGCATGTATGTAAGTGCACTCATGTCATGAAATGACTGCAGAGGTTAGAAGAAGGTGTCAGATTCCCTGGAACTGAAGGCAGGAATAATTGTTAACTCCCATGTGGGCGCTGGGACTCAAACTCTGGTTCTCTGCAAGAGCAGCCAGTGCTCTTAACTGATGAGCCATTTCTCCAGGCCCATGGATATATTCTTAACATAAAACTTACTCTCCTTATAAGTGACTTGACATTTCTCTGTTATAGCTTTCTTTATTCTGTATTTTCAATGTTTTTATCGTAATACGTTATGGAGAGTTTCTTTTCTGGTCTTGTTCTGCAGGCCTCTTATACCCAGATAGGCATCTCTTTTTCTAGGTTTGGGAATTTTTCTCCTATGGTTTTATTGAAGACATCTGCTATGCCTTTGCTATGGCTTCTTCTCCCTCATCTATGCCCATAATTAAAAAGTTTCATCTTTTCATGGTGTCCCCAAACTCACCCATGTTCCTTTTCATGTATTTTTAAGATTGTCCTGTTGCCCTGTACTAAGCACTCCAATCCTCTCCTTTGTCTTCTATCCATGACTGTTTCTAGCATGACCCACCCTGTTAGACAGATTTTTATTTGGCTTATTGAGGTTTTCATTTCCAACATCATCTGAATTTGGGTTTCTTCAGCACTTCAAACTCTGTTTCATGGCTTGGATTGACTTCTTTATTTCCTTCATCTTTATGTCATCTTTGAGTTGTTTGACCACTATAATCATTCTTTTGAATTACTTTTCTGAAAGTTTTTCAAGGTCATTTTCATTAGAAGTCATTACTATAGATACTATTTTTTTTTGAACAGACATGTTATTTTGGTTTTGCCTGTTTTTTTTAATTTATGCTTTGGGATTTGTGTATCTGGAATTTGTTGGTTGAGATTTTTCATTTTTTGTTCAAGTCACCTTATTTCAGCAGAGGGGCTAATTCATAGCAGAGTTGGCATATTGTTTTCTTCTGTTTGTCTGGAACTTAGGGCTATAGCCTCTATCCCAGGTCTTCTGCTTGACAGCTACAATCTGATGCTGCAGTGACTTAGTAAAAAAGCTTGGAACAAGTTCCTCCTGGCAGGGTGGACTGATCCTGGGTCTTAAGGCAGATGGAACAACTGGAGGGTCCTAGTCAGGCAGCTGGCAGGGCTCTGGTGAGTTCTAAAGGGAAGTAGGAAGACTCTCATAGGGATCCCTGGACTGGGATCTGGAATCCCAAAGGAAGGAAGGAAGAGCCAGAAGGAGGTGGTTCCTGGCAGGCAGCCATGGGACTTTGGGGTGAAACAAATGGATGGGGACTGATAGGAGGTGCAGGTAGCTGACTTGGGTTTCATGGCCATGTGAGGTGAATAGAGGTCATAGTAGGGAGCCAGGTATTATCTGGCAAGTCTCAAAGGGAGGGTTTGGGGCAGTTAGTTTTTAGGGAATACATTTGAATTACACAGTTTAAATAGATGGTGATTTTTCTTTTTATTTTATGTGTATGAATTTTTTTGACTGCATGTAAGTTTATCTATGTATGCAATGCCTGCAGAGGCCAAGGAGAGTGTCAGATTCCCTAGAACTGGAGTTACAGATGCTTATTAGCCACCATGTAGGTGCTGGGAACCAAACTCAGGTCCTCCACAAGAGCCAGTGCTCTTAACCACTGAGCTATCTCTCAAGCCTCATAGTTTGCAGCAATAAGACAAGTAGATCTGTGAAGCTGCTCACAATAGCATCAGTTTTTGAAATTCCAACAGAGAATTTCAAAGTTCAAAATGAAGACGTAATTAAAAAATGAAATAAAAGTGCTAGCTATCACTTCCCAAAGTGTTCTTCTCAAACACAAGCCTTGCATATTCCTCCTGAGACTTTTTGAGGCTCCAGATGCTCATATACCAATTGACTCATAGCCTTCAATGTGATGATACAGGAAGTAGGCCCTTGGGAGTAAATTTGATCATTTGGGTACACAAACTTGGCTTGATAGGCCTTAACATATATGACAAAATGCATGAAACCCAGTCTGGAGGATGAGGGACAGGGATGGGGCAGGGGGTATAAAGATGATTGAGATGTTTTATATGAAATGCACAAAAATTCAATAAAAATATATAACTTTTTTTTAAAATTTAAAGAAAAGAATTGAAGTTCATTCTCATTACACAGCAAGTTTGGGGCCAGGCTTGAGCCTGTCTGAAAAAAAGGAGGAGGTTTCATAGAGCCTTTCATTCCATCAGGTGAGGTTATAACAAGAAACTGACAGTTTCCAGTCCAGAGAACCATCAAAGTCCTACAGTGCTGGCATCCTGATCTGAGTCTTCTATCCCCTTAACTATGAGACTACATTGCTATTGTTTGCTAGCTCACTGAAGTTCTTTGTTACAGAAAATCAACTAACCTCTTTTCTTGGAGATTTGCAAAATGTATTGGTATATTGAAAGCATTAGCAAGTCCTTCAGTAAGGCTGCTTAAAATTGTAAATTTGGAGTTTCCTGAATTTAACTTAATATCAGTTCCATGGCATATGCCTTGACAATATTGGATAAGTGAAAATTTCTTAAAGCTTTTAAAATGTAACTCATGTTCTCATTAGTCATAATGAATACTGGCCTTTAATTCAGTGCCTGCTATATAATTGGATATGTTTGCTTTTCTCTGCCCATTATTCGTTTGTTTGCATAATGGTGTTATGATATAGCCTTGTAGAATTCCACCTTCCCCGATGAGTCTGTGAGGTTTGCTCAGTATTGACCATTCCCACTAGTCAGGTCAGCCTAGCCAATCAGAATATTCCATCACACTGGACATAGTGATTTAGTCAATAATAGGCATATGACTTAAGTTAGGTTAATGAGATAAATTTAATGGATTGATGGGAATACAGATAGTCTTTCTGTAGAGACCACTAAATAAGAAGAATGTAAACCCAGATCTGATACTGTCTATCTTGCCATTCATTGGGAGACACTGACTTTTATGATGCTGTCACAAAAGAGATAATAGCACCATGAAACATTTAAACCAGAGATATACAATATCACCCTTTTTTGTTTAATTATTGTTACCTCAGTCAGTCTACCAATTTGTTAATTTAAGTTGAATTTCACTTGCTACCTAAATAATCCATAGTAGTTATTATATATAACATGCACAAAAGAATTTCTACATTTAAAAAATATTTCTTTAATTTTAAAATTATGTGTATGTATGTATGTCTGTGTGTTGATCTGTGCATGTGATTATATATACCTGGGGAAGTCAGAAGAATGTGTCAGATACCCTGTAGCTGGAGTTATAGGCTACTGGGAGTTGCCTGATGTGGGTCCGGGGAAACAAACTAGGCTCCTTTACAAGAGCAGCAAGTGCTCTTAACCATGGAACCATCTCTTCAGCCCAAGAAATCCCACATTCTTGTCTCTTTCTTCCTCTGTAATTTTTGATCAGTGCGTGTGTGTGTGTGTGTGTGTGTGTGTGTGTGTGTGTGTGTGTTTGACAGGCTATACACTTACTATAGCTTTATCCCAAATAATGATAAGCTCTTTATGGGGCAATTTCTGTTTCAAAAGTATATTAAAAAATTTTTTATCCTTCATTTTTTTTCCAAGAAGTCTTGTCTGACTTCATAGGAACAAATTTTCTTTTATTTTTCTTACTGTATCTTTAACTCTTTGGAACACAATCCTATAATGAAACCTTGTCACCACCTGTTTATGAATTTTAATCCTGGATTGCAGACTTTGGGGAATGTTTACTCACAAAGACATAAAAGATTTACAAATGAAAAATGTAAAGACAACCGCAGAAATAGTCATAACAGCAACAACAAGCAAATGAAAAAGAAAGTCTACACAATGGAAGCAGTGATATCAGGTGTTCTCCTGGACACCAGGAGTATGTGGGGAAACTTCAGCTAGTACAGAAATAGAGTACCATGGAAAAGATATAGGACTTAAGAAAGAGGACCACATGTATGATAGAATGCAGATTCTCCTAGACCAGCTATAGGAATGGGAATAGCAGACGAGCTCAGCTTTGAGCTCTTTCAGGGTCTATCTTAGTTGCAGGGAGCCTCCTATTTAGTCCAAGGTCATGCTCTTGCTAAAGGATACTATACCATGTGACTAAGCAAGGCAGGGATAATCAGGGTTGGCCATTTCTGCCTGATAGAAAACAACTTCCTCTAGACACCCCCACCTAATTGAGTGTGCTTGTATTGGATTGGGTGTTTATCCTATTTGATTTTTCCATCCAATTCTTTCTTGATCTTCACTTTTACAGAGATGGAAACTAAAGTATACTCAACATCACAAATTCCATCTCATCATCTTCTGCTTTCAGAGACACCATTTCCCTAGGGATAGATTTGACCACTAAAATAATAGTAACATTTCAGAAATATGGGGACTAGAGAGATGGCTCAGCGGTTAAGAACACTGTTCTTGCAGAAGACCCGGTTCAAATTCCAGCACCTACATGGCATTTAGCAACTGTCCGTAACTCCAGTCCCAGAAATACAAGTGTTTGAAGTCATTTAGTAAATTATACCCTTTATTTTCAACTTAAAAATTTTTCAAGTTTCTATTTTAATTCATTTTCCTTTCCTTATTAGTAGAAATACTAGATCTTAGATACACCATAACAGCCATTTTGTTATTATGGCAATACACAGACATATTAACCACATAGAAAGTAACAACCTTTATTTCTTTTATAAAGAAAGGGTTGTGTTAGCATAGTACTAAGCAAAAGATAAAGGTATAAATTCTGGTGGAAGTCAGTAATAAAGTACTTAGTAAATACCTGCTGATTCATTATTTTCTTTCTTATTGATTGACTAAAAATGGAATTTTCAGGCATTTTATTCAAGAATAGTATTCTATTCTGAAGATGATTCAAATATGAAAAATTCAAAGTCTATGCTTTAGGAAAATACGTACAGTGCTTTGATTGTGATAAAATATATATTACATTAACTAACTCAACCATTGAAAGTGTTCAGTCTCGACACTCAGTACTTTGGCACCGTCCATCTCCATTATTTACCTCCAGAACTTTAAAAAATCTTCCTAACTGAAACTTTGTATCATTAGACTAATTATTATCATTACAGAAAATATTCAAAGATTATAGCTACTTTCTTTCTCATAAGGTTTCTATTTTTAAAATTATAAGGTCTATTGAGTGTTATTGAGTATTGGGCTGTTTCACATTGCAAGCTTAGTTAAATCACTTATTTACATGCATATATAATATTTCTTTTGTACAAATGGAGAAATCAAAATACAAAGGGATGCTTCAAAATTTGTCTATAAGTATACTTAGTAATTATCAGAAGTGGGTTTTAGAACTAAAGTAGTCTAACTTATAATATGTTATGTTGCCTTGGAGGGGTCAGAAGATACAGGGAACTCAAAGTTATTTGGCAATACATAGTGGTACCCTTGGAGAAGACCCTCTTGATGGAGGTATACATCAAGTTTGAACTCAAAAAGAATAGTTATGATTTTATATCCTAAATTAATAAAGTCTTTTTTTTGTTGTTTCTGGCACAGGGACTTTGTCAACTTAAAAATCTAAAAATCCTAGACATAGCCGGAAATGTTATTCAGATATTTCCACAAGGAGTAAGTACATAAAATTCCTATTATAATTAGAAGTAATTTTGTTTATGCCATTGGGAATAGAAAAATGTGAGCAAGAAGTTAAAGCTGTAGTAATTGAAGCCCTTATTTGTACAGATGACTGAAAGATTTGCTTTGTTCTAGAATTTCATGTCCCATTCTTTCCCATTCTTTTCCTTGTGTTCTGTGGCTGCTGAACTCGTTAGACCTAAATGAGCTCTGATTACCATCATCAATACTGTAATTATCTGTTATGATTAAATTTTTTAGTTATTACATACTGATATTTGAAACCATTACTTTTCAGGACATAAATTTTTTTAGCCCATATAATCAATCCAGAGGTGACATTTGTTTGTTAGTTGTTTTTAAGCCATCAATTCTGAAAAAAACATTTTGTTTTCCATTTGGAAGTGAATTTTGACCTTGCTTTATTTCAAATAACTGCGAAACAGTTCATTTTGGCAACTTTTAACTTTTGGGAAGGAAATGGATGTTTTTCGTATTGCATTTTTTACTCAAGTGAACATGGATGAGCATTCAAGGTAAAAAAAAATTGCAAGTTCATTAATCGAGAAATGACTCCATAAATACTTGCTGATCCATTATTGTCTGTTTTTGAGGGATGCCTTTTTGAGACAGGGTCTCCCTGTAGCCCCAGCTGTCCTGGAACTCACTATGTAGATCAGGCTGGCCTTGAACTCACAGAGTTCTTTCTGCCTCTGCCTTCCGAGTGCTGAGATTAAAGGTGTGCACCACCATGTCCAGCTCATTATTGTCTTTCTTATTGATTGACAAAAATTGAATTTTCACTTTTTATTCAAGAACAGTATTTTATACAGAGGATGATCAAAATATGCAAATATTCAAAGTCTATGCTTTAGGAAAACATATATAGTGCTTTGATTATGATAAAATAATGTTACATAAACTTTATCTCAACCGGTCTAAGTGTGCGGTCTTGACACTAAGTACTTTGACACTGTCCTTAACACCATTATCTGCCTCCAGAACTTTAAAAATTCTTCCAAGCTGAAACTCAGTATCATTAAACTAACTCCCCTTTCTCTTTGTAGCATCTGTTATCAACATTATAAAATAAGATATTTCTCCTTTTTCTGAAACCATCATTCTGTAATAGTTCACAAACTTTGTGTAGTGTTGGGGATGAATTCAGGGACTCAGCCATGTTAGACAATGCCCTACCACTGGGCCACAACCCAGCCCAATCATTTCTCTTTTTATTTACTTATTTATTTTGGGTGCTGAGCAGGTGCTCTACCTCTGACAACAGGCCAGCCCTTAATTCTACTTTTTTGTCTCCATGAATTTGAGTGCTCTATGTGTTTCATAAAAGCTGAGCTAGTCAACATCTGCTCTTTTGTGACTACCTTATTTCACTTAGCACACTGTCCCTGAAGTTCATCCCTGCTGTAATGTGTTAGGTTTTCCTTCTTTGTTTTAGGCTTATCAACAGCCAGTTGTACCATATATGTGTATACTGCATTTTGCTTATTCATTTATCTGTGGATGGACACTTGGGCTGTTTCCTTCTTTGGTATGTTATGAGTTATGCTGCTGTGAACATTGGTTTACATATATTTGTTCTCCTTTCCACTTTCAATTTCTTTGGGTATGTACCCAGAAGTAGAATTACTGAATTGTATGGTCCTTCCATTTATTAGTTACTTGTCTTATTGCCATGACAAAGTACCAACAAAAGCATTTGAATGAAGGAACGATTTATTTTGCATGTAGTTCAAGGAGGTAGTCCATTTTGTTGGGGAGGTCATGGTACACAGGAGTGTCAGGCAGCTGGTCAACTGTGTCCATAGTCAGGAAACAGGGAGGGATGAAATTTAGTTCTCAGCTTTCTCCTTTTCTTAAAATTATTTATTTTTATGTGTATGAGTGTTATGTCTGTATGCATGTAAGTGCACCTGTGTTGTGCAGTGCCCAGGGAAAACAGAAGAGGATGTTGTATCCCCTGGAACTGGAGTTACAGACAGTTGTTAGCCACTATGCTGATGCTAATAGTAAGCATTAACTTTCTAAAGGACATGTTTTAAAACCAGTGTTTTACTATGAAAATGCTTAACCACATGAAACATAGAAGAGGAAAGTGAACCTCCATGTGTCTATCACTTTGAAACTCAATCTTAAATCCCAAGTATGATACTATATTTTGTGGAAATACATTTAAGTAGATTATTTTACTACCTTGTAACTGCTCATTAAGAACTATTAGTTTTTCACTGTTTTATGATCAAAAATTTTGTGTGCAACTTAGAATATGCAGATCCTTTTAGTATATATTGAGCATTGGTATAGCTTTTGAATATTAAAAGATGATTTTTTTTGAAATCAGGAGTTTTGTAGAATGTACATTAAATGGAAATATGCAATAAGAAATGAGACTATAAAATCAATGCATCTCAACCCAATCAAGAATATATTCAATAAACTGTGGCCTACATTATAGTAAATGGAGGGGGGGGAACTCAAAGCATTTCCACTAAAATCAGGAATAAGACAAGGGTGTCCACTTTCTCCATTCTTATCCAATATGGTGCTAGAAGTCTTAACTACAGCAGTTAGACAAGAGAAACAAATAATAAAAGGAATGCAAATAGGAAAGGAAGAAATCAATTTATACCTATTGAAAATGATATGAACTGTACATTAAAAACCCAAAGACTTCACTAGAAAATGCCTAGAATACTTTCAGCAAATTGATACCACACAAAATTAACATATAAGAATTTGTAGCCTTTCTATAATGGAAGGCTACAAATGGAAAACAGGATGAGGAAGAAATCAGGGACACATCCTCATTCATAGCAGATAAGGAGATTGAAACAGGAATACAAAGCCTCCCAATTAACTAAAACCAGATCTAGATGGATTCATAGCAGAATTTTTCAGACCTTCAAAGAAGAATTACACCAATACTGCTTAAATTATTCAAAAAAGATAGAAACAGAAGGAGAACTCCCAAACTCCTTCTATGACTCCAGCATTACTCTAATACCAAAACCAGGTAACAACATAAACATACACACAAAAGAAAACTACAGACCAATATCCTTAATGAAAAATGCAAAAATTCTTAATAAAATACTTGCAAACTGCATAAAGGCACATATGAAAAATGATCATCCACCACAATCAAGTTGGCTTTATTCCAGAGATGCAGGAATGGTTCAGTATACACAAGTCAACAAAAGTAACAAATTATGTAAATGGACTCAAAAGACAAAAATCACATGATAATCTCAATAGATGCAGAAAAGACCTTTGACAAAATCCAACATGCTTTCATGATGAAAATCCTGAAAGGAATTAGATAAGAAAGAACACTCTGCAACATAATTAAGGCTACATATGACAAACCATAGCCAACATCATTCTAAATGGAAAAAAAAAAAACCTCAAAGTATTCCTATTAAAATCAGGAACAAGACAAGGCTGTCCACTATCCCCACTCCTTTAAAGTATAGTGCTTGAAACCCTAGCTAAAGCAATAAGACAAGAGATTAAATTAAAAGGGTACTAATTGGAAAAGAAGAAGTCATATTATCCATATTTGCAGATGATATGATATACATAAAAGATCCCAAAAATTCCACCAGAAAACTTGTAGAAATGATCAACACTTTCAACAAATTAGCAGGATAGAAAATCAATTTATAAAAATCACTAACCTTTTTATATACCAATAACAAGCAGTGAGAGAAGGAGATCATAGAAACACTCCCATTCACAATAGCCTCAAAGGTATCTAGGAATAAACCTAATCAAACACATTAAAGATCTCTACAATGAAAGTTTAAATCTTTAAAGAAAGAGGTTATACAAGACTGTAGAAGTCTCACAGATTCAATGCAATGCCAATCAATAAACCTCATGATATTTCAGAGAAATAGAAAAAAGTATCCTAAAATTCTTATGGAGCCACAAAAGGCCTCTGATAGCCAAAACAACCTTGAGCACAAAGAGCAATGCTGGGGGATTACCATACCAGATCTCAATCTATATTACAAATCCATAGTCATAAAAATGGCATGATATTGGCAGATAAAGACTTATTGATCAATGGAACAAAATAGGAGAGCCAAATGTGAGTGCTCACAATTACGGCCACCTATAATTTGACAAAGGTGCCAAGAATACACACTGAAGGAAAGACTACATCTTGAACAAGTGTTGTTGACAAAACTTGATCTCCATGTGTAGAAGGATGAATTAGGGCTATACCTATATTTTGAACAAAAGTCAACCCAAATGGGTCAAAGTCCTCAATGTGAAACCTGAAACGCTGAAACTGTTAGAGGAAAACAGGCAGAATATAGATTTTTAAAAGTATATTCATATGATTCTATGAATTTCTTTATTATCTGTTATAATGTTTCTTTTTTAGATTCTGATTTTATTAATTTGGGTTCCTTCTGTTAATTTGGCTAAAGGTTTGTCAATCTTGTTAATCTTTACCCAAAAAAACAACTCTTTCACTGATTCTATGTATTATTTGTTTATATTTCATTATTTCATTAATTTCGATTTCAATTCTTTCTTCCAAGTTTTTTTTTTGTTTTAAAGCAGGGTCTACCTGTAGCCCCAGGTTGTAGATGACCAGGCTGCCTTCCAAATGCTGAGATTAAAGGCATTTGCCACCATACCCAGCCCACTCTTGTGCTTTCATGTAGGCACTTTGTGCCATAAACTTCCCTTTAATACTACTTTCATTGTGTTCCATAGATTTTGGTACACTGTGTTTTCATTTTCATTCAATTCTAAGAATTCTAAATTTTCCTTCCTGATTTCTTCCTTGACCCAATTTTGATTCATCAGTGTGTTGTTTCATTTCTATGTTTATTTTTTTCCATTTCTATTGTTGAGATCCAGCTTTTATTCCTTTCTGACCAGTTACATTAGGATGTTATTCCGATTTTCCTAAAGTTTTAAAACTTGCTTTGTGTCCTAAAATCTGGTCAATTTTGGAG